ACCTGATACTCAAGCTACATATATTAATATATTTTTAAAGGTCTTTTTCCTTTTTTGTTTTTTAGATCCTGTATCTAAGTGAAAGTGAAATATTTTGTTAATTATATATTTGGTCCTTTTGTTCACTTCCCTATTTGTTAACATGATTTTTGCTAAAAATATGTATAATTTCATTGACTTTTTAAAATGCTTAAAATCCCAAATTTGCTTCTCTAGTATTGTTCTCCTCTTTACTTCTACTCCTCCCTGCTTCTCCTTCCTCTTTGCCATCTTTCATGCCACCTAAAAAGATTTAGGCCGGGCATGGTGGCTCATGCCTGTAATCCTAGCACTCTGGGAGGCCGAGGCGGACAGATTGCTCAAGGTCAGGAGTTTGAAACCAGCCTGAGCAAGAGCAAGACCCCATCTCTACTATAAATAGAAAGAAATTAATTGGCCAACTAATATATATAGAAAAAATCAGCCAGGCATGGTGGCGCATGCCTGTAGTCCCAGCTACTCGGAGGCTGAGGCAGAAAGATTGCTTGAGCCCTGTAGTTTGAGGTTGCTGTGAGGTAGGCTGATGCCACGGCACTCACTCTAGCCTGGGCAACAAAGTGAGACTCTGTCTCAAAAAAAAAAAAAAAAAAAGATTTAGAGGAGACTTCTATTGACTCTGAAACCCCTGAGCAACATGTAAAACATGCCACTTACCCCGTGCTTGGGGTCTTCTGTCTTCTTATGGAGTCTAAGGAATCATGGATGAGATCCTCTCAGATCTAACGCTTTGCTCTCTTTTACACTGAATTACCCAATCTCCTTAGCTTTTAGGATACCAGGGATTACTTTATAGTATGAGACAAAACTTGACCTTTCTTTGTGTGATGGCTCCTGGGGTCACTAATGAGTATTGCAGTTTTATTTTTCATTTATTTATTTATTTGAGACTTGTCTCACTTTGTTGCCCAGGCTAGAGTGAGTGCCATGGCGTCAGCCTAGCTCACAGCAACCTCAAACTCCTGGGCTCAGGCGATCCTCCTGCTTTAGCCTCTTGAGTAGCTGGGACTACAGGCATGCGCCACCATGCCCCGATAATTTTTTGTATATATATTTTTAGTTGGTCAATTAATTTCTTTCTATTTTTAGTAGAGACGGGGTCTCACTCAGGCTGGTTTCGAACTCCTGACCTTGAGCAATCCACCCACCTCGGCTTCCCAGAGTGCTAGGATCACAGGGATGAGCCACCGCGCCCGGCCTAAAATCAGCTTTAACATTATTAATACACTGATACAAAGGTAAAATTTGTTTTTCTCCTTTCAACAAGATTTTCATATTATTTTTTATTTATTTTTATTTTATCATATTATGGGGGTACAAGTGTTCATATTTTGCCCATTTCATATATTATTAATAAGAGAAATAAAAGATGTTTTGTTCACCTTTTAAATAAACAAGAAAGAGAGAGAAGGAGAGTTTCTCATTCTGTCTTTCTTTGTTCTTTTCATTGTTTAGAAAACTGAGTCACTTCTCTATCAAGGACTAAAGGTTTTACTTTTTTAAATCCTTGAATTATTACTTTGACTAAATGAATAACTATTATTTTACAGTCACCTCTGGTCCTATTTTGATCAAGTATTTGAAATCTTTCTCATTTTATAATCAAATGTTTTAAGTCTCTAACATTTGACAGACTTCTCAAAATCAAAGTTCAAATTCCACTCTCTGACCTCCCCCCAACGCCCACAATTGGGCAACTACCCCCCCCCTTCAATAATATCCCGAATCATCCTTTACACAGTCTCGCCTCCCCCCCCAACCCCCATCCCAGATTTCTTTGCTAGCAAACTTCCATTCTCTGCTGTGGGACTAGTGATTTGATTTGGGACAATAATGAACTTTCTATAAGCCAAGGACCCTAAAACACAGCTTTTCTTCCATTGGAGCAGTAGTTCTTTTTCTTTTTAACCCCTAAACCAATCATTCGTGCCTAATCTAGATAATTTTTTCCCAGATGATAGGATTTTATGTTTATATCATTAACTCCCTCTTCTGAAGCAATTGTCTCCCAAGATTAAAGTTACCACACAGTTTCTTGATATCTAGTTAGGACTACCCAAGAGACCAGAAGAGTATAAAAATGCAAATGCTGGCGATTTCTGAATTCCAGATACTCTGTGTCTCCCATCAGGAGGCAGGGGCGATGGTACAGCACTTCCTCCATGGGTAGTAGCAGGCCTGGGATTCAACAAACCAGGTGCCAGGCCGCCAATGCCCCTAGCCCTGAGCTCCCAGGGCTGGCCTCTCCCTTTCTATTCCAACCAGTGCTAGCTTTCCTGGGACAGCCAAGAGTTCAACTGGGAACTGCTTTCCACTCCTTGCAGGATTTTCCCTGCGAATGTTCCTGAAACTGTCACTTTCTTAGGGCACAGAGCACCTTGACGTGGGACAGAGTCGCTTACCTAAGACCCTGATGCCCACAACTCAGTAGGGGCCACAGATGCCCCTGAGAGAGGGAGATGCCCCTAAGAGAGGGAGATGCCCCAGAAGAGCCCCACCCAGTGGTCCTACATTGGAGCCTGAAACTTCTGACTGGAAAGACCAGACCGTCAGCCTACTACCGTCTGCTAGAGCCACCCTCTGGGAGGCTGAGGCAGGTGGATTGTTTGAGCTCAGGAGTTCAAAACCAGCCTGAGCAAGAGCGACACCCCGTCTCTACTAAAAAAGTAGAAAGAAATTATATATATATAATATATATAATAAATAAATTATATATATAAATAAATTATATATATATAATATATATATATATATTAGCCAAATATATATATAATTAGCCAGGCATGGTGGCACACGCCTATAGTCCCAGCTACTCGGGAGGCTGAGGCAGTAGGATTGCTTGAGCCCAGGAGTTTGAGGTTGCTTTGAGCTAGGCTGATGCCATGGCACTCTAGCCCTGGCAGCAGAGTGAGACTCTGTCTCAAAAGAAAAAATATAGAAAATTCATGGGGATTTTGTTAGACACCACCCTGGGCTCTGCCTTCTCCCTTCTCTCTTGGTCAGAGTTCACTGTGCTCATTCTGCTAATGTGGAGGCTCTTACTGAATCACTATATACTCATGTCTATAGTGATTTACAAACTATTATTCTAATTCATGCCTTGGACCAGAGGATGATATTTTTGGGTTTTCACTGTCAAAAGGATCTATTGCAGTTTTCCAGTATATGATGGCATATTAAAGAGTATGTTTTGGAGATGCTGATATGCCATTATTTAAAGTCATCTTTTTCTTATTTAGTTTTTATTTCTAGGGAAGTTTATATAAGGAAAATGCATACGTATGGGAAATAAATAATTGTTTAGGTTTAGGGTAATTAGTTATGCAGAAATAAAAAACTAATCCATATGTTCAGTGTATGTTTAACCTATTCCAAATTGCCAAACAGATCACAGTGGCCACATGTCCTGTTATTCACATACCAGCACAGTGTGAGAGATCCGGTTGTTCCATATTCTTGCCAGCACTTGGTATTGCCAGTGTTTTTATTCTAGCCATTCTAGCAAGGATGTGAAGGTATCTCATCACAGCTTTCATTTCCGTTACCCTCATGGCTAATGGTGACCCTCTTTTCAAGTGCCCATTGCCATATATATATTGAAGTGCCTGTTTGCATCTTTTTCCATTTTCTACTTGAAGGGTTTGTTTCCTTAGTGTTGAGTTTAGAGAGTTATTTATATAATATGGATGTAAGCCTTTTGCCAGATGTCTGATTTGCTAATATGTTATCCCTATCTATGGCTTGTCTTTTTGTCATCTTAACAGGATTTTTGTAAAATAAAAGTTTTAGGTGTTTTTTTTTTTTTTTTTTGAGACAGAGTCTCGCTTTGTTGCCCAGGCTAGAGTGAGTGCTGTGGCGTCAGCCTAGCTTACAGCAACCTCAGACTCCTGGGCTCAAGCAATCCTTCTGCCTCAGCCTCCCGAGTAGCTGGGACTATAGGCATGCGCCACCATGCCCGGCTAATTTTTTTTCTATATATATTAGTTGGCCAATTAATTTCTTCCTATTTATAGTAGAGATGGGGTCTTGCTCTTGCTCAGACTGGTTTCGAGCTCCTGATCTCAAGCAATCCACCCGCCTCAGCCTCCCAGAGTGCTAGGATTACAGGAGTGAGCCACCACGCCCAGCCAAAAGTTTTTAGTTTAGTTTTTTTTTTTTTTTTAAGATAATGGTCTTTATTGGAAAATAAAAGAAAATAAAACTAGCATTTACAACTTGGAATGGACATAAATTGTAATTTCTTGAACAGCAATGATGATGGTTGTGCTGAAGTCGATAGCCACAGCCTACTGCCGACTCCAAGTCATGGTTCAGAAGGTTTAAAAACAGAGAGTCCAAAGACGCTCTTATTAAGGTTTCTTATTAAAAATTTGTGTGAACAGTGACAGCCTAACACCCATTGTACTCCAGTACCATGCAGACAACGCTAAACCAACATACTCAGGCATGCCACCAGGGTGTGTCACCATCACCACGGGTCAGAGCACATGGAAGTACAAGAGGACCATCCTACCAGTGGGGCTACGTCTCAACAGTTTATCCTTCACTCATTTTTCTGCACATCATCCTGAGGTAAACCAATTTTAAATGTGTCTGTTTTCAGTAAACCAGCTGGGACAATTTATACTAAACAAATTGAACTAGAACCCATTTGAATAGGTTTTGAATTTGTTTTTTCATTTTTCATTTTTAATACAAATGCCTGACTGTGCTCAATCATCAAGCTGCATGCATGGAAAACTGGCCAGCCCCAAACAGTGTGTTAATCATTAGCAAATGGAACTTTAAGGAGTCCTTATCATTAAGGTAGTATAAGTATTTATATTGTAAAACTGATGTGTAGCTTGATCTTTAGGGGACAGGACCACCAACCAATACATGCAGATTTTGTGTGTGTAAACAGAAGGTACTTTTGACATTCAGTTTTGCTATGTAGAAACAGAATGAATAAATGAACTTTTTACTTTTTTTGCAAGAGGTAAGTAAAAGATTCAATTTGATTCTTCTAGAGGGGGGGGAAAGGAGTTGAAAGTAGGTCTTCATTTTGCAGTCATCATCTGTACGAATCCTTCATAGTTGACTTGTCCGTCTCCATCAATATCTGCTTCTCTGATCATTTCATCTACTTCTTCATCTGTTAGTTTTTCTCCTAAGTTTGTCATGATGTGATGTAGTTCTGCTGCGCTGATGCAACCGTTGCCGTCCTTGTCAAAGACTCACGGATTTCTTCTTCGCTATCTGTATCTTTCATTTTTCTAGCCATCATAGTAAAAAATTCTGGGAAGTCAATGGTGCCGTTACCATCAGCATCCACTTCGTTGATCAGATCCTGCAATTGGGCTTCTGTTGGGTTCTGACCCAGTGACCTCATGACAGTTCCAAGTTCCTTTGTTGTGATGGTGCCGTCACCATCTTTGTCCAATAGGGAGAAAGCTTCCTTGAATTCAGCAATCTGTTCTTCAGTCAGCTGATCAGCCACCGTGCGAGCGAAGGGAGGAAGAGCACAGGGAGCAAGGGCGGCCGCACCGGCTCAGGGGCTGTGACGGCCGGGCTGCCTCCCGGGTTGCTGCCGCTAACGCCCGCTGTGCGCTGTGCAGCCACGGACTGCGCCGCCCGCTGCGAGTAACCGCTCCGCATCCGGGAGACTCCCAGCACCACTCCAAAAGTTTTAGTTTTAATGATGTCTAATTTATCAATTTTCTGTTGGAATCTTGCTTTTGTTGTCATGTTAGGAATTCTTTGCTTAATCCCCAGCCTTGAGGATTTCTCCCTATATGTCCTTCTAAGAGGTTTATTCTTTTATGTTTTGCATATAGACGTATAATCAACGTGAGTTCATTTTTGTGCAAGGTGTGGAGGTTCAGGTTGAGAATTTTTTCTTTTGCTTTGTGGTGGGACTGTGGACAACCAGTTGTTCCAACAGTCAATGCTAAAAAGACAGTCCTTATTCTATTGAATTCCTGTTACACGTGTCTCAGAAATCAATTTGCCATACCTATGTGGTCTTTTTCTCTGGATCCTCTATTCTATTCCATTCCTCCTCCTCCTCCTTCTTTTCCATTCCATTCCTCCTCCTCCTTCTTTTCCATTCCATTCCTCCTCCTCATCCTTCTTTTCCATTCCATTCCTCCTCCCCCTCCTCCTCCTCCTTCTCCTTCTTTTCCATTCCATTCCTCCTCCTCTTCCCCCTCCTCTTCCTCCCCCTCCTCATCCTCATCCTCCTCCTCCTCTTCCTCCTCTCACTTTATTGTCCTGGCTAGAGTAAATGTTGTGGCATCAGCCTAGCTCACAGCAACCTCAAACTCGTGGGCTCAAGCAATCCTCCTGCTTCAGCCTCCTGAGTAGCTGGGACTACAGGTGTGAGCCATTACCCCCCGCTAATTTTTTGTTTCTATTTTTAGTTGACTGGGTAATTTTTTTCTATTTTTTAGTAGAGATGGGATCTTGCTCTTGCTGACGCTGGTCTTGAACTCCTGACCTCAAGCTATCCTCATGTCTCAGCCTCCCAGAATGCTAGCCATTCTATTCTTCTATGTTGTCTATCTCTTCATCAGTACCACACTGCCTAGATTCTTGTACCTATAATGTCTTTAAATTAAGTAGTGTGATCCCTCCAACTTTATTCTTTTTCAAAATTTTAGCAGAAACAAAAAGTCAAATACTGCAAAGTCTCACTTATAAATGAGACCTAAAAATTCGATGCTCGTGAACATACAGATTGGAATATTAGACATTGGAAACTCCAAAAAGTGAGAGTGTAGGAGGGGGTTGAGGAATGAAAAACTACCTATTGAGTGCAATGTACACCATTTGGGTGATGAGTACACTAAAAATCCAGACTTCACAACTATGTAGTATATCCATATAGCAAAACTACACTTGTACTCCTTACATTTAAAAAAATGAACGAAAAAACCAAAAAATTATTTTAGCAATTCTAGTTCCTTTCCCTTTCCTTAAAACTGATTTAATCAGCATGTTTATATCAACAATAACAACAACAAATCTTCCTAGGATTTTCATAGGAATTGTGTTAAATCTATAGATAGAGACAGAAAGATTTGACATATATATTATGTTGAACCTTCAAGTCCATGAATACACTATGTCTCTCAATCAATTCAGCATTTCCTTAATTTGTCAAAAACTGAGGATTTTGTAGTTTTGGCATACAAATCTTGTACATGTTTTGTTTGAAACATATCTAAGTATTTTGGAGGTATTGTGTTTTTAGTTTCAGATTACTGTTATTTATTACCAACATATAAAAACAGATTGAATTTCATGTGTTGACCTTGTATCTTGTGACCTTGTTAAATACACTCATAAGTTCTGGAAGTTTTCTTCTAGACTTGGGATTTTCTACACATAGTCGTGTTCTGCAAGTATGGAGTTTTACATTTTCATTTCCAATTGATATTCTCTTTAGCTCCTTTTCTTGCCTTATTGTACTGACAAACATTACCAGAACTATGTTGAGTAGAAATGATGAGTATGAACATTTTGCCCTGTTCCTGATTTCATGGGAAAAACATTGATTCTGTCTCTATTACAAATGATATTAATGTTAGGTTATTGTACATGTTCTTTGTGGGGTTGAAAAATTCCCTTCTATTACCATTTTACTGATAGTTGAATTTTTTTTTTTACATGAATGGGTGTTAAATTTTGTTAAATACATTTTGTGCATCATTTGATAGGATCATGTGGTGTCTCTCATTTAGGTTATTAATAGAGTGAATTACATTGATTATTTTTTGAGTACTAAACTAGTCTCGCATTAATCACAAATCTTACTTAGGTGTGGTGTATTATTCTTTAATATATATTTCTGAGTTCTATTTGCTAGTATTTTGATGAGAATTTCTTCATCTATGTTTAGTTGGGATATTGTTCAGTAGTTTTTTGGGGGGGAAATACTGACTACATAAAATTAATTGGGAAGTGTCCAGCTCTCTTTTATTTCCTAGAAGAACTTGTGTAGAATTCATCTTATTTCTTCTTTAAATGTTTGGTATTCATAAAATTAACCAGTGAAATTTTAAGAGCCTATATATTTGTTGTTTTGGGATATTTTTGACCATGAATTCAATTTCTTTAATAGTTACAGGAATATATAAATTATTTCATTTTGGGAAAGTTGAGGAAATTGTGGATTTTGTTTTTTTTATTTTAGTGTACTATGGGGGTACAAGTGTTAAGGTTACTTATACTGCCCATGCCCCCAAATTGTGGATTTTGAAGGATTGATTCATTTTACCAAAGTTGTTGAACCTATTAATATTAGTGTAGAACTGTCCTTATACCACTTTTCAAAGTTTTCATTGTTGGAGGGTTTATCAACATAAAGACACTCCTAGCTATTGCCAGTTTTTTCTTCCAGACCCACTTACCACTGTTCCCCTGCTCTGTGTTTCAGGAAGTCAGCTATATGAACTGCAGTGGAGAGGTACATTGGCCCTCAGGCTTCTGATTGGGTTTAGGCACTGAAAGACACCACCTGTTTAAGGATATGGAGAAATAATGGAACATTTCCCCATCCTTTGTTGGTTTCCTTTAATGTCCCTACACGTGCCCATTGTAAATAGTTAGTCACTTTATCAAACTCTTCTCAATTACTCATTTAGAGAGTGCATCTGTTTTATGCAGCAACATTGAGGATATAGGTTCCACTTACAGGTATAAAATGACTCTAAAATATTTCATAAAGCAAAATATTTAATCCTAGGGCCTTTCAGAATTTGGACATAGAAAGAGAATACAGCAGAGCAAATTAAGATTGAATGTCTGCAGAAGCAAAAAGAAAATAAGGATAGTGAGATATCCTGGAATCAGAGGAAATATGTTCACTGTATAACATGCTGATGAGAGGTTGAGGATTGTGGGCATAGGAAAATAAAATCATGGCAAAGAAATCTTCATTGTACAGGATAAACACTGGAAGGTGAATGCTGGAGATCATAAATACAGTTGTTATGTAATAGTTTAAATTATTTTAAACTTAAAACAATTTAAAATTTACAAGAAAAATACAAAAATAAACCACAGAAATCCTATATACCTTTGTCCATATTCCCCGATTTTTAATAATATAACACATTTGGTTCCCCTGCTCTCTGTGAAGAATTTGAGAATCAATTGTGCAACTTATGGCCAGTGTACTTTAATATTTTAATGTGTATTTCCTAGGAAGAGGGATATTCTCTTGCATAAAATCAGTAGTTATCAAATTTAGGAAATGTAACCTTACTGTAACACATTTATGTTGTAAAGTCCATACTCCAATTTTGCCAATTCTGCTAATAATGCCTTTGAAGTATTGATACTCTTTCATTTTTTGTTCCAGTCTAGAATGTAAACAAGCATTATATTTAGTTATTATATACTTTTTTTTTTTTTTTGAGACAGAGTCTCTCTTTGTTGCCCAGGCTAGAGTGAGTGCCATGGCGTCAGCCTAGCTCACAGCAACCTCAAACTCCTGGGCTCAAGCAATCCTTCTGCCTCAGCCTCCCGAGTAGCTGGGACTACACGCATGAACCACCATGGCAGGCTAATTTTTTCTATATATATTAGTTGGCCAATTAATTTCTTTCTATTTATAGTAGATACTGGGTATTGCTCTTGCTCAGGCTGGTTTCAAACTCCTGACCTTGAGCAATCCGCCCGCCTCAGCCTCCCAGAGTGCTAGGATTACAGGAGTGAGCCACCGTGCCCAGCCATCATATACTTTTTATTTTCCTTTAATATGGAAGAGTTCCTCACTCTTTCATGACCTTAACATTTAAAAAAAAAATGCTTCAGTTCATTTAATAGTCCTCAATGTGTATTTTTAAAATATTTCCTCATGATTAGATCCAGCTTATGGATCACCTGCTGGAATGCTACCTAAGTCATGTTGTATAATTTCAAGGCATTGCTCTCATTTTAAAGTATACTATTTCTATCTGCTCATTGAGCTGGTGGTTTTTAGTCAGCACATTCACAATGAGCACCCTGGGAAGCTGGTAGATTTCAGACTGCAAGATTTGTTTGGTGGAGTGGTATGTTTCTCAGTACCTGCACTGTTGGGGGCTGATTCTGGTGTTATGCCTTATACTAATCATTCACTATAGCCTGTGATACGTGTGCTGCCTGATGCAGCTGTAGTCAGCATTTTCTTCAGACACGGTTGCTGCCTCGTGATATGATAAAAGGCCTGAGTTTCTGCATATAAACAAATGTTGCCCAGCTGCCACATGGAGGGCCCTGTGATGGGAGTTTGGATGCCATAAAGATAAGAAGAACTCTCCCAAGGACTGGCCCCCAGTTGATGGTTGTTAGCCAATAACGGGTAAGACTCCTCATGGGAGGGGTGACCTAAGACAGGCACAATCGTGGGGGCCAGGGAGGAGCCACCGCCTGGGATTGAGACCAAGACGCACTTCAAATGGCTGCATTGTTTTATGTTGCTTATCTGGGCCTTGGCTTTTCAGCTATGTCCCGCACCTTAACTTTAGTAACCATTAGTGATCTGAGAGCATGAGACCACTGTTCCCTTGTGAAACAACTCTGGAATTGACGGTTATGGCTGCTATGTTCAGTTGCTCACATACAAGGAACTAACCTTGGGTCTGGGGGGTATAAAAATAAAGCAACTAGTGCATTGGACACTCGAGTCATTTCATGTCCTTGTGCGTCTGTGTCTTTATTTTATGTTCTGTGTTCATCCCCCATCCTGTAACGGGCCATGACACTGCACTGTTCTATGCGTGGTGCTCATGTCAGCACTCTAAGGTGCTTAGGGAAGGTATTTTGTCAGTCGTGGATACAACAGGTCCATGGCTGATTGTTTTCCAGAAGCAGTTTCTAGTAGAGCATAACTGGGGAGTTTTCAATCATAGAGCCACTGATTGCACAGAGCTAGACGTGTTTGTGTGGCACTGCCTTCCTTTTCCCATAGCTGCATGTTTGTCTGTCCATTCCCCTGGGGACCCTCCAAGAGGCGGTTTCTTGCTGGCACCACCACTACACTTGGGTACACGTTCTTCAAGGGCAACACTGTACGTTGCACTGAGTCA